AGGACCCCCTCCGGGCCGCGGTCCACGCCGTCAGCGAAGCGGCCCCAGCGGCGGAGTGGGGGCAGCTGGGCCGCCCTGGGGCGGTTCCCCCGCGCCCCGGGGCCGGGGGGACGACGGGCGGGAGGAAGCCCGTTGCCTGAAGCGGTGTCTCGTAGGCAAAATGACCGGGCTGTGGAGGGATTCCTCGGGCGCGGAATTACGGGCTGGGGGCACCGTGCCTTCTGGATCCCTGCCCGAAGCTGGAGGAGTAGGAGAAGCCTCTAGGCTGTATTTTGACACATGGTGTTGATGTGTCGGGCAAGTCACAGCTCTCTGGGCATCGTTGTAAAGTAAATGTGAGTTTAACGATGTTCAACAGATGCAAACCTGACGGTTCAGTAACAAATGCCATTGCGCAGGTGTTAACAGTTAGGATCAGAGACAGAAGCAGAAGATCAGAGTTTTTTAGGTGGGCCAGTTAAACAATGAAGTAGGTAGCTGCTAGCACTCAGAATTTAAGCTACAATACCTGTGTGGGACCTTGAATCTCTTGACAGCAACAAGGATACACTTGGTTTTGGAAGAAAATGGGGCGTGGATGACCTGTTTTCTGTCAGTAACTTAAAAATTGTTGTACTGAATTTTTTTCAATATATATTCAGACGGCCAAGGTAATAGTTGCTTTAAAAGGGGGCATCTGTATGGGTTAAAGCAGAGTTTGAGTGGCTTTAGTCTACCAAGAATCTATAAGTCTGAGTACAAAGCCACAGTGGAAACCACTTTTATTATGTTTGCACAAAATCCTAGCATATTCTTGACTAAAATGGGAGTAAGCTATTCAAGGATAAGTAAGGGAGAACAGAAGATAGATGTACCTTTATGAAAAAAATATTTCCTGATTTTTCTTCTTATTCTGTTTAGTTCTTGAATTTGAACACGTTTATCTTGAAAATCTACCATGTGCTTCGATGTATGAACGCAGTTACATGCACAGAGATGTCATTACACATGTAGCATGTACTAAGTAAGTGTCTTTTTTTTCCCCACTGTATTTCATTGTCAGAGATGTATTTTTGTATATGCCAGGAAGTTTTCATTGTAGAATTTTAATAATGGAAAGTTACTGTGTCCAGAGGTGGTATTTTAAGTTTATTTTGAAAACTAAGTGCAAAGGAAAGGGCTTACTGAGAGGCAAGATAAAAATTGTTTAAGTAGACTAAAAGAGGGTCTTAAAATCCTTTTTGCAATGTGCAGTGTATACAGGAATAAGAGCAAATGATTGTATCTAAACAAAATATGATTCAGCAGAACTGCACAGATTGAGGAGATAGCATTCTTCTCTTTTATACACAAACACACACTAGTAGATAGTAACTACTGTGAAACCAGACCTAAAATAGGAGTAAAATTTACATAGTCAAAAGGGATAGTATTATATTTTTCTTCAGTTCAGGCTATTGACTTTTCATAGATTAACCCAGAGTGCATTAAAATAATTGTTTGCTTTTCCAGGAGTGATAGTACACATTCAGATTGTCACAGTAATTTGTTTAAAGTTCATTCTCTACACAGCGTTAATTGTAGTGCAAATTACTGCCCCAGAGTGGTGTGAAAGTGCATAATATGTGTATTTTTTGTTGTTGTTGTTGTTATTTTTCTTTTGTAATTGTAGGACAGATTTTATCATAACAGCCAGTCACGATGGACATGTAAAATTCTGGAAAAAAATAGAAGAAGGGATTGAGTTTGTTAAACACTTCCGGAGTCACCTGGGTGAGAAGTTGCTTTTTCTTCTCTAAAGGACCTCACTTTTTCCTCGCCCTTGATCTTAGTTGTTTGAAAAAGGGGTGCAAATATAGAGGACAGGGCTTCTGGGATTCATTTCCTGCAGTCAGGGATTAAATGATATCTACCTATCTTCCTTCTTTCCCTGTCCTGTTACTTTTTGCTCCCAAACTGCAGGAGGGATAGGGTGAAAATAAAACATGTGGGACTACTCCTGCACAGATCCCCTACATCCTTTGCAATGCCTTGTGCCCTGCCTGTGGCGAGAATGTCTAGGACATGAAGAAACATGTCTATTTAAAAATAAGTGAACAAGGTACATAACAGGGTTCATAAAATGCAGAGAATTTAAAAAAGATGTTACTTTAAGTAAGATTACCTTCATCCCTTATCTTTTGTTTTGGTTTGGTTTTTTTTTCCCCTGCAGTATGGAAAAAAATGGTTATTTTCATCTGGAATTATTGCAACTGTAGAGTAAATTCTGCATCATTGTCATGATTATCAGCTGAATTGCAATTAAGAATTAATAATTTTAACACAATTTTCTGGGTTAGTAAGTACACATAGCTCTTCTGTACTAAATGTACAAAGCATTAAATAGGCTGGACAGAAAACGAGGTTCTCATTGCTATTAGGAATGATGGTGTGCCTGATGGAAAAAAACCAGTTTGATATGCAGACTGTTACAGTAAGAAAAATATTTAATAATAGATAGTAAAAGTACTGTTTCTTTTTAGAGTTAGAAAAAAATGTTATGGTGGGTTCTTGATCTTAACTGTTAGTTTCTCATTATATACAGAAACAAAATGTGAGAACAAAGGCTACCAAGCAAAAATAAATACGGTGAAAAACTTATGGAAGGCTCAATTGCAGGGTAATTTTGAGTATTATGTGTGTTATTAGCAGGACTGTAATAGTCTATAGAGTTCTGCTGCTTTTTCTCTTTTGACAGATGCAAGAGCACATAATTTTTTACCATATCATAATGTTGTTATCAATTTTTTTAAAATGAACATTACAAATGAAAATAATTGCCATTATAATCTTTCATTTATGTATATGGTAAGTAGTTCATTATCACGTATCTGATTCTAAACAGTGATTGGATACAAAGTGTTGTTTTGTTTGGTTTTTTTATTTTTTATTAAAGTTGGGTAGTTTTTTAAGTCAAAGAAGTGGAGAAACAGCTGAGAAACAGGTTTAAACCTCTGTAGTTTTCTTCCTGTGGAGTATTGAAATGAAGGATGTCCCTTTCCTGTGTCTTAATAGTACGTTAACTTGTTTAATAGGTGTTATTGAGAGTATTGCTGTTAGTTCGGAGGGGGCGTTATTCTGCTCAGTTGGAGATGACAAAGCAATGAAGGTGTTTGATGTAGTCAACTTTGACATGATCAACATGCTGAAACTTGGGTAAGTTACTTAGTTATTGAAAATGTTTGTTTGGGATTATAAATGGGGGTTATTTTGCTAAGAGAAAAGTCAATAATTTGGGGTTTTTGAGGGTTTTCCCCCCCCCAGTCAGATGAAGCTGAGTAAGTTGCATTATCTGAAATGCATCCATTGGCTGGAAACTGACTGACTGAATAGAAAAATTTGTGACTCTGTATGCAACAGTGCATGAGTGGAGCAGGTCTGTGCCTTTCCTCAGTGTCAAATATTATGCACAAAGACGTGGTGTTTCTCAAAAGACTTAGCTAGGCATAATTTTTTTTCTGTTGTTTGGCACTGAATTTAAAAATTATAGCCAACTAGTAGTTCCAGTAGAGAAGGAATTTGGCCTGTATGTGTTGTCGTATCTGTTGTCATAGGGATAGAAATTTCCTTCTTCTGTTAGAAAGAATGTTGTTGTTTTCCTTAGTCTTGCTGTTGTAGGATTTCTGTAGTTACACACTATGTAACTAAAGAATCTGGGAGAAATAGGAATGGATGTTATTGGAATTGTAACAATGCCAGAGGAAAACAAGGGTGGGTTTGGAGCGTTGGAGGATCAGTGAATGCTGTACAAAGAATGGTAGAAATACTGATTTTACCACAAGCCTTTTAAAATTGGAAAACTTATTCCTTGTCGTTTACTATTTGTTGGTTAATTGTGAAACTGAATAGAAGTATAAACTCAGAAAAAAAAAAAAAGCTTTTCGGAATGCCTATATAAAAGCTTATGTTATCTGCTTTGCTGGTTATAGTTTTAGTATTATCCTCCAGATAATGTACTTAGCCTATGGGAATTGATTCCCTGTTGGCTATCTGCTATGGAAAAATTCCCGTTAGCCTTAGTCTTCTGGTTTTGCTGGTCTTCTCTACTTAGTAGCCCTGTATTGTCACTACAAAATTGGTAAAATTATAGGATGAAATAAAATTAATTTAATATTAAGAAAAACTTAATTTGATGTTACAATAGAAGGTGCTTTTTTTCTGTTTGAGAATTCAGGGAAAACTGAGGTAGAATTTAAACCAATTTTGCTTCAGGGATACCCTGAGAATGCCACCTATAATATTTTTCTGTAGTATGTTCCCTGATTTATCTTTAAATAGATTTTCTTTTCAACCTCAGTAATCAAGACTCTCCTCTCCCCATATATTTTTTCCAGACATAATTGGGTTTTACCTGAAGTGAACTCTTTAATGAAGAAGAGAACAGTATACAGCTGTAATATAATCATTGTCCTGAACAGCCTTTTAAAATGTAATGTTTGTTGCGCTATCATCTTCTGCTGTACTGTTTATTGAGCAGATAGTTTCTGTTGACCTGCCTGAGAATTTTTTCATGGCTGTTTGCTTAGGCTTCCAAAGATTAATGTAGAATCTTAAGTTCTTTGTAGTCCTTTCAGCACACGGTATCTTGCGTTGCCTGCTTTGATAGGTATATGCCGGTATATCACAGGGTTGATGAGCTTTGTCTCAAATTCTTCAGATCTTTTCAGTTCTAACTAACCTATACAGTGTGGCTATCTGCAAAGCCCCATGCTTTATGCTTCCATCAGTGATCTGGAGAAGGACAGCTATTTGTGCAGAAACTTTGGGTAATGATGCATAGATCAATGGGGCATCATATTTATTTATTTTATCTTATTTGTTTATTTATTTATTATCATATTTATTTATTTATTTATTTATCTATTTGATCCTTGATTTCTAGTGAACCTGAGACAAAGTTGTGGTTATGTTTTTCTTTATGAGAATCTTTACCAGACAGGCATTGAAAATCCAAATTATTAGTGTCTGTCATTTGTCAGTCCTTCAGTATCTGTTAGTTCTATTTGTGAACAGATGCCAAATAGGAGTTTCCTGTGGAGATTGTGTCATTTCTTTGTGGTCTGTCATTGAGTTTCTGAGTTCTAGTTCTCAAAGTCTTTGCTTACAGACTTCTTTGAAAACAGACATAACTTACATTATTGACCATATCTCTGGCTTGTTTTATTTGTAGAGTATGTTTTTGCTAGTAACAATTGAGTTCCTTCTCAAATGCATTCAGAATGCTTATTGAATATAGGGTGATTGTCTTGATTTTACTTATATTGCTTTTTGGTTTTGTTTTTGCTTTTTTTTTTTCCTTTGGCAAGACCTAGTTGAACTTTTCTGTAAGTGTGTGGCAAAGGTGCAGTTGTCTTCATTTCCACTGAAGCATTAATCACTTAACAGATGGAAGAGTAATGCTGTTGAGTCATAGAAGTTGAGTAGTAATCATTAATGCCACTTGTGCTATTTAGCTGCATTTCTTTTATACCCACCTTCTACCTTTGCTTTCTATCACAGCCTCTTTATAAAACAATATGGGAGCAACAGAAACTGGTCGAGCCATCCACTGAATTGTGTTGCTTGGAAAAGCTTGGTTATTACACTGTTGAATTGTAGCAAGACAAATATTAGAAAGACTAGTAAATAAAGTTCAAAATTCATTTCTGATATTTGATTTCAAGTTTATAGCATAACTTGATTCTTACCTAAGTTAACACCAGTCCTTATTATTTTTTTTTCTCCTTCCACTCTTTGTTGCAGCTACTACCCTGGCCAATGTGAATGGGTATATTGCCCTGGAGATGCCATATCTTCTGTTGCAACTTCTGAGAAGAGCACAGGAAAAATATTCATATATGATGGACGAGGAAATAACCAGCCACTTCATGTTTTTGATAAACTCCATACATCCTCTCTTACTCAGATACGGTTGAACCCCGTCTACAAAGTAGTAGTGTCTTCTGACAAATCTGGAATGATTGAGTACTGGACTGGTACTCCTCACGAATATAAATTTCCCAAGAATGTGAACTGGGAGTATAAAACAGATACTGATCTATATGAATTTGCTAAATGCAAGGCTTACCCATCCAGTATAAGTTTTTCACCTGATGGCAAGAAAATGGCCACTCTTGGGTCTGACAGAAAAGTTAGAATTTTCCGTTTTTTGACAGGGAAGCTCATGAGAGTCTTCGATGAATCTCTGAGTGTGAGTTTGATCTTGCTTCTCTTTTTTTGAGGCTTTTTCTCTACTTATTTGAATGTATTTACCAGGACATTCACCTAAGTTATCATCTGTTTCTAAAGCTGAGCTTCCTTGCTATATTTTTATTGCAGAAACGGTTTTCCATGTTCTGTTACTTGCTTCTTGTATTGCTTTGCGCCAAAATTAATTCATCCTGATTTATGTTAGTTATATAGTGAAACTGAATTGTTGATTTTCATCTGTGTTTTCATACTGCTAGATTACTTTTTACTAGAAAGCAATTATGGAAAAATGCCCATTTCAAATAACATCATAATAATGAATGAAATTTGTCATCTTCTAAGAAATTAGTTAGACAGCTACACACTTTTCTTTCTTTGCGTAAGCCTAGTACTACAACATGCCTATTGGGTCATTAAAATAAAGACAGTATTACTTGTATTTATTTTAATTCTTCAGTTAACTTTGAGTGGTGTAGTCTCAATTGAATTCTGTACTTTCTAAGCATATGGATCACTGTTTTGCTGGATCAAAAGTTTAAAATGTGTTCATATAATAGTGATTTTTTTTCTGTAGATGTTTACTGAACTTCAGCAGATGAGACAGCAACTGCCAGACATGGAGTTTGGCCGACGTATGGCAGTTGAGCGTGAGCTGGAGAAAGTGGATGCAGTAAGATTAATTAATATAATTTTTGATGAAACTGGACACTTCGTTCTCTATGGAACAATGTTGGGCATTAAGGTCATAAATGTAGAAACTAACAGGTAAGTTCCAATGATGCACATTGAGATAAATATGTTTGTTTCAAAGTCTATATTCAGTCAAATTTATAGTATATTTAAAACTTGATATGACTGTGTGGGTCTCTAACCTTTTTTTGTTGTTATTTGGGAGCCTTACATTAGACTGTAGATAAGATATTCCCATGCTTCATAATGAGTCATTGCAGTTTAAAGCTTAGTAAAATGAGGAGCAAACACGGCAAGCGTATTTGTATTAAAAATGAGTAATCAGTTCATACCTGGCTAACTGGATGTGATAATGTAAAGTAAATGTGGATCATGCAGTTGGGATTTTATCGCATAAGGAGGCTGACTAGTAAATTACGTAGCAAGTTTGAATAGAGAAGCATCATGAAAACAATTAGTAAAATATTATTTTGAGAGGGTTTTGGAATTTTGCTTTGAGTCTTGCAGTTGGAAAGGAGACGTTCTCTTGACTGTGAACAGCTAACAGCAGTTACACCTTTTTACATCTTGTACTTCAGGTGTATTCGTATCTTGGGAAAACAAGAGAACATCAGAATGATGCAACTAGCTTTGTTCCAAGGAGTAGCAAAGAAGCATCGTGCTGCAATCACTATAGAGATGAAGGCATCTGAAAATCCTGTTCTGCAGAATATCCAGGCAGACCCGACAGTAATCTGCACAGCTTTTAAAAAAAATAGGTTTTACATGGTGTGTGTCGTTTAAGTAACTCCATTCTTGTATTGTTTTCTCTGCATTATTTTTAATTTTTCTCCTTGCACCTTTCCAGTGCTTTTTGTCTTGAGTATTTGCGAACACAACTTTTCCAGAGGAGTCCCTTTATATTGCAAGTATGTTCTAGAATATTTAGCTTGAACTAGCTATAAATTGACTAGAAACAGCTTTAATTTTTTCATTATCGCTCAAGCAGTTAAATAAACTTGGATGGTTTTGGCTGTCTAAATTACAGCTCTCGGAGAAGGTTATACGTTTCTGTTCTAGTTGAAAAAAAAAAACAACCACACTTAAAAATCCTAACCAAATCTTACACTGATAAAGAAACAATAATTAGCTGTATGTATAAAATATGTAATAAATAATAATTAGATTCAGAGCAGCATCAGGACTCGGTAGCACCAAGGACATTATGGGCAACTAAGACAGGAGTCATCTTCCTGTTCGCAATTTAGATTTTAGGTGAGGTGCAATGAATAAGCCAAACAGACAAGCAATTCCAGAGTAGTTAGTAGTTGGTCTGGGATGTGATGACCATAGAGGTTAGAGATCGGTCTGTCTGTTGTTACTTGTACTTGAATTTGATCGTGATTTCCACTGGAGCAAGATAGTATACTTTCTAAAGCTTTGTGTGGTTAATGTGTAGTATATAATGGAATATACTACTATGAACAATTTGACAAGTGAGGAGGAGAAGTTAGACAAAATCTTGAAACATTACTCACTGTTAGAGAAAACATGATTGTATCCATGCAGAAAGATTAGCAATTGTCATTTGATATGTAATTGTACTACTCACTTAAGCGGATGCTTGTGTACACCTATATTTATTCTGTGCTTTCCTGTAAGTACTAGAAAAATTACGTTTCTGAGATTTCTTCTGTGTTGAGTTAAATTTGCTGGTTTTCTATAATTTTGTATTAATGCAGCATTGGAACAAGAGGATTTAGTTTGACTTTGTAGTGAAACTAGAAGTTTTGTGATGAAACCTGCCGGTTTTGTCTGGATATAACAGAACAATTTGATATTTTCCACTCTTTTTTTTTTTTTTTTTTTAAAGAAGAGATGCTGAACTACAGTGGGCTTTCTGTTGAAAAAGGGAGGAAGTTTTAAGATAACATTATAAAAAGTTACTTGGATTTGCATGTAGTTGTACTGGAATATGTGACTGGAAATGCTGGTAACACACAACACTGAAATGCAAGGACAGACTGTCTATGAATGCTCTTCCTATATTTCAAATGTAGTTGGGTCTTTAGCAGGTTGAATAATCACATTGACATCTTGGGTGCAGAGCAGTGTTTAAGATAAGGGGAAAAAAGAGGAAACCAAACCATTAACCTTCAGTTCTTTTGTTCTTCAGTTTACTAAACGTGAACCAGAAGATACGAAGAGTGCAGATTCTGACAGAGATGTATTTAACGAGAAACCTTCTAAAGAAGAGGTCATGGCGGCCACTCAGGCAGAAGGTCCCAAAAGAGTTTCAGACAGTGCTATCATCCACACAAGCATGGGAGATATTCATATCAAGCTTTTTCCTGTTGAGTATGTATTTGGTAGTTTTTCTGTTATTTCGTTTTTCATTCCTTCTGTGCCTTTTTTGTGGCAGTATCCAAGACTTATATTTCAGGCTAGGAATAATTCTTTTCTTCCCCCTTTTCTACTGTCCTTGTTTCCTGAGAGTTTATTAATACATCAAGCTAGGAATGTGACTCTTGACAAACACAAATAAAGTAGGGTAAAAATAGGTCTAAATAACAGTTGGGGGCACAGGGGTTTTTTATGATTTTTGCTTTTATTTAATTATTGGTTCAGGGGGTTTATTTCTTAACTTTTGTTCTTTCTCTAAACTGCAGATGTGGATAGGTCATGATGCTCTTCTGTGTAAGGTACATATTACTGTAAGGCAGTGCTCTTTGATTCTGTCTTGAAAAAGAATGATGGTGTTGGCAGCAGCAGTAGGTTTGGCAGTAGGTCTGTGAAAGCCAGAGGGATAGTAGTTTGCAACTTCCAAATGTGGCCGTTGTACTACATTTTATGTTATTGCTGCTCCTTCAAGAGCAACATAAAATTTATACCAGCATATATTAGTGCTGTGTATATCCAAAACCAGGCATATAATTGTAAAAGAGTTGTATGCATGGCAATTGCTAAAGTTATTGTCAGCAACCTCTCCTTTGTGATGCTAATATATGTGAAGATTTTGTAATGAAACAGTAAATTTATATAATGTATTATATTGCTATACCTTGAGACTTAAACCATTTAAGTGTAGTCCATGCTTCTCCAAAAACAACTTCATGTTTTGTCATAAGCGCAGGTAAGGCAACACAACCTCAATTCTACTGTGGCGGGCTGCTAGTCTTTCATTCTCTTCACCAATGTCTTGCATCAGGCCCTAGTTTCTGGCATTCGTAATAGTACCATATAGGTTGCAGTAAAGGTACAGCCCTTGCCAGTGAGTCACAGGCTAAGCTGCATTATTTCTGACTTTTTTTTTTTTTTTAATTCCCATGCCAGTGTGTCACTGCATTTGCATGCATAACATTGATGCTTCACTGCAATGTTTTGTATGCAATTTTAAATTAAATAGAGTATTACCAGGCTCAGTTATTGTTAGGTTTGTCCTTTCTTGTTCTAGTATTTCCTCCCAGCTGAGCTTTGAATTTAAAATCTCTTTAAGATGAATGTGATTAAAAATTTAAAGAACAGCATATAGGATGTGGCTTTGTATGCCCTTTAAATCTTGGGCCATGTGCTCATGGAATGAAGTTGTGAATGACTAAGTACTGCTCAGCAGGACCTGGGACTATACTCTTGTCTGATCCATTG